CCAAATGATGACACAAATAAAGTTGGATCGACCTTGATTTTATAAGGAACACCAGTTTTTGCCGTCACATATGTTCCACCAAGGCCAATGCCAAGAAGGATATCTGGATCCATATAAATTAAAAATTAATCGAACATATGAACAACCAATTATTAAATTAGATATTAACTTACTCAACATAGGACCCCCAAAACATGCGCTCATAGCCATCATAGGTGAACCCATTTTAGCAAAAGTAATGTTAGCAACAAGGTCTCCGAGGCTATTTCCCTAAAAATAAGTAGGAATAAAAAAAAGAAATTATTAATCGTTTGAAAAATAAATTAAAGCACATGGGAATTGCAACAAACCATTGCAAATATTGTGAGACCTAAAATGGCATCACCAACTCCCATAATTAATCCTAGCGCCTAAATTGTAATAATGAATTGTAAACACGTTTAGGAAAACAACCCAATGATAACGAAGTCATTACCTCCAACAAACTAACTACTTCATTGGCTACAAGGTATATCCACACCATTGCGACACCGAATCCCACATAACATAGTAGAGAATGGAAAATCGGGGGCTGATTGTCGCATGTAAAAAAGATACAGAGCGCGAATAATACAATTCCAACAATGAACGAATAAATAAGCAATTTTTCCATGGAGTGATCATCGCCTATAATTGAGAACGCGTAGTAATATTAGAAATACAGTGTGTTATGGTAACTAATTATTCTTATTAATAAACTAGTCTAGCGCTTCAGATTATGAAAACGACTTGAATTATTGAAATATACTAACTGAATAGGACAAGAGAGATAAACACGGGTGCAAATAGGAACTGGACGGCAGTTAACCAGCGATTCCAACCGATGGGTCTTTCTTTTTCAGGAACGGGAACAATGACCAAATCAGGGTTATCATTGATAACAATAGTAGGCGGCTCTAAATGCCGAATTAATTGATTGTCAATCGAGTCAATTTCGTCATCATCAGTTAAACTGTCCTCTACGTTCACAACAGGTAAAGTGAGCGTGAGAAAAAGAAATGCCGGGCAAGCCATTAATGCGGTGATTTTGGCAAAGAAAGATTTATTCGAGAATCCTATGAGTGAAGGGAACAAAGTAGATAGCACGTTATCTAATAATGATATTAGCGGGGCTGGCTTCTGTAATACCGGAGATAATAATGGTGAACTTTTTGGTGATGCAGTTATAGGAGGTAATGATTGAAAATATTCTTCTTGAGGTGAAATACTCAATGGCGAGTTACATAATTGAGTTGGTGGTGATGGAGTTGGTGGAATTAGCGAGAGACGTGGCGAGTTAGGCATTCCCGAGGGGTCCAATTGAGTTTGTTCCCGATTACGGTTAGTCGTATTTAAAGTTGGCGAAAGGTATGAATCATTAAGAATTCGAATATCGTCGTAAGAATGATTCAACGTCCCATCATTAATAAC